TATGGCAGACGAGACAGTTTCAAATAGCACGACACTCATTGCATTGTGTTGTGTCAGAGTAAACAAAAAGCGGCAGAGCGACCACCTATTGTACTCCCTCCGTTTATAAATACAAGTTTTTGTATAGAGATTTCAATATACAAACTACATACGAATTTATATAGACATAGGTGCTCGATAATTTTTGTGATGATCTCGCGCCTCCCCTCCAGGAGCCGGAGGAGGAGGACGAGAATGTCGACATGGATGTAGTTAGACCCTCAGAAACGGGGAGAGAGGACCGGGTGGGCACGAGGACCAGTCCTAAGCGCAAGTGGAAGCGCAAGATATACCCGATGTCCGCGGTACGTAGGAGTGCTAGGATCCGCACGGCTAAAAAATTCCATGATGAGATATGAGAGGAATCTTTTGGAATAGCAGGGGTCTTAAGGACTTGGCTAAAAGGGCCTTGCAGAAGCATCCATCGAGCATAGATTGGACTTTATTGCATTGTCGGAAACTGGTAGAGCAAATTTCTCACCACAATTTCTCAACACTTTATCTGCCACCGAGAGGAAGGTCGGGAGGGATCTTACTTGGTGTTAGATGCGACTCCCTCGAAGTTCAAAGTGTGATCATGGGAGATTTTGCTGTTAAGTTCAGGGTGCGGTCCAAAGTTGACGGATTTGACTGGGCTCTGGTGGCGGTGTATGGTGCCGCGCATGCAGAATTCAAACCGGATTTTTTGGCCAATCTGGTTAGAGTCTGCGGGTCTGAGCAACTCCCCATTCTGGTTGGGGGAGACTTCAACATTATTAGGAGACGTGATGAAAAGAACAATGATAATTTCGACGGGAGATGGTCATTCATGTTTAACACTATTATTGAAAGCTTGGATTTGAGAGAGATTGAGCTTTCAGGTAGGAAGTTCACATGGGCTAACGATTTGCCAAATCCAACGTTCAAGAAGTTGGATCGGGTACTTGCTAGTGTCGAATGGGAACAGAAGTTTCCCTTTGTAACAGTTCAGGCTCTCTCTCGCGGGATTACTGATCACACGCCTCTTTTGCTTGACTCTGGTGGGGCTACCTACTCGGGCAACAAGAATTTGTTCTCATTCGAGCTTGCGTGGTTCGAAAGATAAGGCTTCCTGGATCTCGTAGCCAGAGAGTGGGCTAAGGATGCAGGCGGTAGGAATGCGCTTGAGCGCTGGCAGAATAAGATTAGGCATCTGAGAAGTTTCCTACGTGGGTGGGCTAAACATCTTAGTGGAATTTATAAGGTTGAGAAGGAACGGCTCCTTACCCTTATTCAGGCCTTAGATGTAAAAGCATAAACCACAGTTTTGCTAGCCACCGAGCTTCATACCAAGCTTGACGCTGAGATGAGGTTGAAGAGCTACTTCGTGAAGAAGAATTAAAGTGGGCACTGCGAGCCAAGGTGCGAAAAGTGGTCCAGGGGGACGCGAACACTCAATTCTTCCACATGATTGCCAATGGCAAATATAGGAAGAAGAGAATCTTCTAGCTAGAACAAGATGAGGGTACAATTATCGGTCAGGAAAACCTGAAGCTTTACATTACTGAGTACTATAAACGTTTGTTTGAACCACCAGAGGAGAACTGTGTGTCGCTGGATGAGTCTAGGGTCCAAGATGTACCTCAACTTACTGCTGTGGAGAACGATATCTTAACTGCCCCTTTCTCGGAAAAGGAGGTTTTCGAGGCCATTTCCAAGATGAAATATAATAAGGCACCTGGTCCGGATGGTTTCCCGGCTGAGTTTTATAAGAAGTGTTGGCATATTATTAAAGGGGACCTGATGCCGATGTTCCATGATTTGTTCTCGGGACATTTGCAGCTTTTCCAACTAAATTTTGGAACAATAACCCTGCTCCCTAAGAAAACAGAGGCCGAGAGAATCGAGAAATTTCGGCCTATCTGTCTTCTGAATGTCAGTTTCAAAATTTTTACCAAGGTTGGGATGATTAGGCTCACACAGATTGCACACGCCGTTGTGCAGCCTTCTCAAACGGCTTTCATGCCGGACAGGAACATCCTGGAAGGGGTTGTGGTCCTTCATGAAACGCTCCATGAGATTCACACGAAAAAACTTGATGGTGTTATTTTCAAAGTGGATTTCGAGAAGGCTTATGATAAAGTCAAATGGCCGTTCCTTCAACAAGCTTTACGCATGAAGGGCTTTGATGAAGCTTGGCGACGCCAGGTGGAAGCATTCACGCAAAAAGGGAGTGTTGGAATTAAAGTAAATGACGACATGGGTCATTATTTCCAAACACACAAGGGCCTGAGACAAGGCGATCCTATGTCGCCAATTTTGTTCAATATTGTGGTTGATATGTTGGCGATCCTGATTGGGAGGGCAAAGGAGGCCGGTCAGGTGGATGGCTTGGTGCCTCATCTAGTTGATGGTGGTTTGTCCATTCTGCAATACGCTGATGATACAATCATTTTCATGGAACACGATTTGGCAAAAGCGAGAAACATGAAGTTAGTGTTATGCTTATTTGAACAATTGACGGGGCTGAAGATTAATTTCCATAAAAGCGAGCCGTTCTGCTTTGGTAGAGCCAAAGACGAACAAGAGGCTTATAGATAATTGTTTGGTTGAGAAGTGGGGGCTTTACCTTTCACGTATCTCGGTATTCTCATTCACCATCGTAAGCTAACAAATAGCGAGTGGAAGTGCATCGAGGATCGGTTTGAGAAGAAACTGAGTTGCTGGAAAGGAAAACTCATGTCTTATGGAGGCCGGCTGATTCTTATTAACTCGGTGCTCACGAGTTTACCTATGTTTCTCTTATCCTTCTTTGAGGTCCCGGTTGGGGTTAGGAAAAGGCTGGACTTCTATCGATCTCGATTCTTTTGGCAGAGTGATGAGCTTAAGAGGAAGTACAGACTTGCCAAATGGGATATTATCTGTCGACCAAAGGACCAGGGGGGCCTTGGTACTGAAAATCTTGAAGTCAAGAACAGATGCTTGCTCAGTAAGTGGCTGTTTAAATTGTCTTCTGAGATGGAGGCAACGTGGGCGCAGATTTTACGTAGTAAATATCTGCAGTCCAAGACCCTATCCCAGGTCACTCTGAGACCAACAGATTCGCCGTTCTGGAAGGGGCTCATGAGAATCAAAGCTGCCTTCTTTAACATAACGAGGTGTATTATCGGTAATGGTAACAACACGCAATTCTGGGAGGATATGTGGCTTGGCGACACGCCGTTGGCGACCCAGTATCCGTCCCTATATCGTATTGTTCAGCATCGTGAGGCTCTTGTTGCCATGGTTATGCATCCGTTCCTCTCAACATTCAGTTCAGGAGGGTGCTTGTGGGTGATCGATGGTAAGCATGGCTTCACTTAGTCCGTAGACTGATGGAGGTTCAGTTAACTCCTCAGCCCGATCAGTTATGTTGGAAGCTTACTAGATCTGGGGAGTTCACAGTTAAATCGATGTATATCGATATCATTAACTCTACTGTGATTCCTAGTTCCCAAGAGGTTTGGAAAGTTAAGGTCCCTTTGAAGATTAAAGTGTTTATGTGGTTTGTGCATAAACAAGTAATTTTAACAAAGGACAATTTAGTTAAGCGCAACTGGACAGGTTCTACTAGGTGTAGTTTCTGTGATCGGGACGAGACTATTAAGCATCTCTTTTTTGACTGTCCGTTGGCACGAGGGCTGTGGCGCTCTGTGCAAATTGCCTTTAACATTACTCCTCCGACTTCGGTCAACACGTTATTCGGGGCATGTCTTGCTGGGATAGAGTCCGAAACAGCTAGACACATTCGTGTAGGAGTATGTGCGTTGTTATGGGCAGTTTGAAATTGCAGAAATGATTTGGCTTTTAACAGCACAACAACTATTCATTTTTTGCAGGTTTTATTCCGGGCTACTGCACTGATCCGTATGTGGTCCTTACTCACTCCGACGGAGGCCAGGGAGGGTTTGGTTACTGGATCTGTCCGGTGGGAGATGGTAGCGCGGGATATCTTCAACCGGTTTGAATGGCGGTCATGTAATAGGATAGGCAATTAGTTTACCTATCTTTTATTTTGCCTGCCGGTTGTGGCTTTTGGGCTTTTTGTTTTGGCTTTGAGGCTCTGTGTGAGCTAGCCGTTGCTTTTGTTTGCAGACTTTAAGACCTTGTTGAACCTTATTTACTCTATAATAAATGTGGCCGTATGCATCGTTCTGATGCAGAGGCCGGGGAGTCCCCCCTTTTCGAAAAAAGAGTGTAGAATCACTCATTCTGCTCCATGTGTAGTCTTTTATTGAAATCTTTAAAAAGGCTTGTATTTTGGAACCAAACGAAACGACGAGCGAGCTTGGGTGGGTGGACACTCGCTAGTTCGCGTTATGGCCCACATCACAGATAGCGCCTCCAACCGCAAAGCCAGAGTGTGTTGGAACAAAAAAACGAGCTACACAAACTGACAAGGGTGAGGGCAAGCCATGAACTCGTCCGGCCGGAGACACCGGGTCAAACGTCCACGCCCATCATGGTATTGAAACCACAATCATCTCCCTGTCACTGTCCCTGACGCAGCAGCACGAGCTGACTTGAGAATAATGTTCGGGTGATGATCCAACAAACCACGCGGCTTCCTCCACGCACAACGACCCCGATCCAGCACAACCCATTGCCGTCGTCCTCTCCTCGCCGGATAGCCAGCGGATTCAGGTACGCGAGCCCCTCATGCTCTTCATCTTCTTGTTGTGTCGACTTCAGTTTATAAATCTTGCCCCGCCTCAGTCTGAACCGTCCCACGCATCCATTTGTGTCCCTCCTTACCACATGAGGCCACATGGTTGCTCCTTTGGATCCACTTCTGTTTACAGTAAACAGGAAAAGGAATCATGTTCATTTCTGATAGATTCGTAGCATCACGGAATGATAAGACGGAGCCCTGTTTCAACATTCAGTCTTACCTCCTCTTAGAGACTCTCGGACCATATGTAAGTTGCATGACCTTGTGCTTTATAACGCAGAGATCACACGACATGGCCGAACACGCGGTCGCTGCTGTGCTGCAGCGGGCAGGCGCCACCGTGATCCAAGAAGTCGCTTCTCTGGGCCAGGTTCCTGCCAAGGTGGAGGCCCTCAAGTCCGAGCTCAAGCGCATGCAGTGCTTCCTCAGGGACGCCGACGCGAGGATGGAGAGGGGCGAGAATGAGATGCTCAGCCAACTGGTGTCGGAGGTCAGGGACGTCGCCTACAGCGTCGAGATCATCATCGACACGGCCAACATCTTGGCCAGGGAGAACAACAGACCGCCGTCCCTCCTCGGCGCCATATCCAAGGGCGCCTATTACCCGGTCCACTGCAAGCGCCTGCACAGCGTCGGAAAAAGAATTGACCAGGTGACAGCAAGAGTTAATAAGATCTTCAAAGAATTTGAAAAGTATAACATTCAGAGAACTAGCCTGACTGAGACAAGATACAGTATGGATGAGAACGAGACTCTACGCTCTAGGAGACTGATGCTTCCGGATTTCGGGGATGAGGTTGATGTTATTGGCTTTGACAGTGAAATCAACCAGGTCAAGGATCAACTGCTTGACTTGGAGAACAAGGACCTCACTGTCGTCTCCCTTGTTGGTCCAGGGGGCTCAGGGAAATCAACCATTGCCAGGAAGGTCTACAATCTTGTCGCCAAAAAGCATTTCAACTCCTCCGTATGGATATGCATCTCACAGCAATTTTCGGTCTATGGTGCACTGAAGGATATCGTTAAAGGGGTCATGGGGAATCAAGACTTCGAAGAACTAGGAACAATGAATGAGATTGAAATCATCAAGAAGATCCACAGTTTTCTCAAGGATAAAAGGTACCTTGTAGTCTTAGATGATGTCTGGAAAATGAAAGACTGGGATATGGTCCAAGCTGCCTTTCCTGATGTGAAAAATGGAAGCAGAATTGTTCTGACAACTCGCAACTCAGCAGTTTCCAATCACCCCAACGCAAGAAAAATAATCCAGCAGGTCAAGCTCCTTAACGACGACGAAAGTATAGAGTTATTCAACAGAAAGGCATTCCCTTCCTATGTCGTCCATGGCAGAGATGATCTGGATAGCTTCAGAGAACTAGGCAAGGTACTTGCATTAAAATGCAATGGCTTGCCTCTTGCAATTGTAGTCATGGGAGGTTTCCTTTCAAAGAATCTCAGGATCACCGAGTGGAGAAGAATGGTTGCTAGCGTAAACTGGGACACAATGAAGAATGAAGGTGACATCAGAGCCATACTGGACCTAAGTTACTATGATCTGCCAAGCAATCTGAAGGCATGCTTTTTGTACATCACATCATTCCCAGAAGACTACGCAGTCCCGGTTGGCCTTCTGACGAAGTTGTGGATTTCAGAGGGTTTCATATCAAACGTGCGTGGACGCTCCCTTGAAGAAACTGCGCTCGGGTATGTGGAAGAACTGGCCCAGCGCTGCTTGATCCTAATTGAAAAGAAGAGCTCCAGGTGCATCAGGGCCGTTAAGGTACATGACGTGTTGCGCGACTGGGGAATTGGGCGAGCTCGAAGAGAAGGCTTCTTGAAAGACTGCAGTTCCAGAGATGAAGTGGAGACCTCATATTCCAATGAAATGAGAGCTTACAGGGTGGTTCTCTACGACTCCGTTTGCGTGAAGGTCGGTGTTGCTATGCCAAATCTGCACACCTTGCTGATCTTCAATGCAGCTCGGCTAGAAAAGGACGTCTTCTCTTTCCGAGGCTTGAATTACCTGCGGGTACTCTACTTTGATGGCATGAGAGGGAGATGGCAGCTACCTGCAGAGATCGGCCAGATGGTACATCTGAGGTACCTTGGCTTGAAAGGTGGCACATATGTACTTCCTGCTGCCGTCAGTAATCTCACAAACTTGCAAACTTTTGATGCAAGGGATGCCACAGTGGAAGCGCTCCCTATTGATCTCTTGAGCATTTCAACACTGAAGCATATCCATATCTACAAGGTCGAGTCATGGTCCATGTGGAAGACGAACATGCAGAGCAACCTGAAGTCACTTTTCATATTCCTGGCAGCCAACACCCCAAAGCAATGGGAAGGAGCAACTGACAGAATGGAAGAAAATCCCTCCTGGTGCTTTGGGAAGCACTACCGGAGCGTCAAGCAGCTGGAAATTGTCGGGGCGTGCGAGGACGAGTTTGGGGTGCCCAACGACCTGCATCTTCCTGATCTGCACCTCCTCCCGCACAACCTGAGACGGCTGAAAATCAGCTGTCCTAATCTGCTGAATGATGAAGACCCCATGCCGACACTTGGGAGCTGGCTGACGTTCCTGAATGTGTTGGAAATAGGGGTCAAGTCATACACTGGCGCGACCATGACCTGCCCTTCTGGTGGGTTTCCAGACCTGCACAATTTGGTGCTCCACGATCTGGATATTGAGGAGTGGATATTGGAGGATGGCGCCATGCCGAAGCTCAGGATACTAACTCTCTGCAAGTGCACCAAGCTGAAGGCGCTTCCGCAAGGATTGCAGCACCTGAAGGAACTTAAGAAGCTGAAAGTGATAGCAATGCCTGATTTGGATCAAGTATTATGCTACCTGCTCCACAAGGCCGGACGCGAGGTCGTCATCAGGTCGAGTGAGGAGGACTTTGAGCATGTACAGATCCCGTAAGTACACACTCTGCCACATGCCTCCATTTTCAGCTGGCAGAACAATGCCATGAAATCCATCGTCAGCTGGTACTTAACCAACTGGTTTCACCTGACAGTTAAGTACTAGTAAAGAAATGCTAGAGTTCAAAAGAGAGAACGGAAATAACGGTAGCAAGGAAAAACCTCAAAGTAACAACAACTATAATTCACTGATGCAATACTGTTCAGTTTTAACATTTTGCAGGCTATATAAAACACCAAGTATGTTATTATTCTGAAGTGAACACTTATGACTAAGCTACTCTAGTATGTCCCTCTCCTGCAGCAAGTATGACATCTAAGGAGTAACAGGCCGACATCCATGGACAACGGGGAGCAGAAGCAAGTTAAATTCACCACCATCTTACATGCTGGGTGGAATGGATTTCTTCGAAAGGCGTACAGGTTTCTCCTGCGAGCTACTGGCCTGGAACTGACAAACTGTCAACGGGTTTATCTCGCTACTATTTATTATGTGCTTATATACCTAGATTTTACTAAATGCGTATACTGTGCAACTCTGATGTACAGGACACGGTTTGTAGTTTGAAATAAAAAAAATCAAGGGCTGAGGGAGAGAAGGCCCTTCGTACATTTGTTCAAGGAGGAGATGAGACATCCCGAACTGTGGCCACGGGTGCTCTGTTCTCACAGTTTGTAATTTGAGGTTATGCTGATTAGTGATGTTGGGCTATAGGAACAATTAAGTGAAAATTGGTGAATTCCCCCCAAGTTCGTCGACCTATGATCAAATGACCTAGAGTTGATGGTCCTCTTGATAAAATGCCCTATAGTTGACAAGCATCTTGAAGATTTGGCCTACAGGACCAATGGAAATGGAACTCTGCCCCTGCTTCTCCTCAGCAGAGAGTAGGGATGTAAATGGCGCGATAAACGGCGCCGCAAAGCTTGTTTAATATTTTTTTTTTGTTAGCTTGATAGTTCATTTTCCCGGAAAAAAAAAACTTTCTTAAACTGTTCGACCGATAAGTGGGCTTAAACGGTGCGCCGCTTACATACCTAAGCAGAGAGGAACAGGTGCAGGATGCTCTCCCCGGAGCTCACCTCTTGTCATCTCTTTATAATATGTTCTTTTTCCTTCAAATGGTTTGATCCACGCAAAATAGATTACTCCACACATAGGAAAATGGAATTTGACAAACAGAAAATAACGCAGGGCAACATATGGAATATATATGTACATAAAGCTCCTGCTCCTCCTCAACACGCCTCGATTTCAACCCGAATCAATCTCACAGAACTAGGGTTTACATTGCACCAAAATCAAAACATGGGGTTCACGATGAGGAAAAAAGTGGCAGAAAACGGAATCAATGGGCTCACCTCGCTGCCGGTAGGAGCCGCCAGCCGCTGGGAGGACTCGACGCCAGCCGGGGAGCCGTCGCCGGGGCGGGCGCACGGACAGAGAGGGAGAGCCGTTCCGGCCGTCCCTTTTCAGACGCCGTCGCCAAACGGGTTTCACAATTCGCTTTCCAGTTTTCACTTGCCTTTCCCCGAGTGAGCTAACACGAATTTTTAGACCTAAATCTGACTCACATATAAAATACTCCGTCGAAAGAGTGTACTTACTTTCAACATTGTTGAAAAGTCAATTTTTTTATATTTGACCATATTTATATAATAATACATCAACATTTATGCCATCAAATTAGTAACATTAAATTCATAATAAAATATATTTTCATCATATACATATTTGGTTTCACAAACATTGATATATTTTTGGACAAACTCGGTCAAACTTTGAGACAGTTTGAATCCAACAAAATTGGAAATACACTCTTTGAAGGACGGAGGGAGTAGACAAATTCAGCTAGCGAATAATACAATGTTCAACACTATTTATTCGTACTACCTCCGATCCATAATAAGTGTCATAGTTTTGACTTAACCTAGGTCAAAACTGCGACACTTATTCGGGACACTTATTTTTTAACGAGAGGGAGTAGTACTCATATTTATTTTTGGACGCTTATTTTGGATCAGAGGGAATAGTATTCGTATGTAAGTTTTTCTTATCTATTTTCTTGATATGTGAGTCTTCACATGAGATTTTGCACATTGACTTCAAAAATTCAAGACTCTTTGAGTAAGTTCGGTTCGTGCATTTGTTTTTCCAATCAATAGGTGGCGACAATTTCGTTACTCAGAACGCAACCACTGTTTAGGTGGCGACAATACAGTCCAGAGTTTTAAACGGCAGAGCCACAAGTAAAACTCGCTAGGGAAATTAAAACACAGACACCAAAGACGTGGGGATTTCCAGCTTCAGAGCGCCAAGTCTTCTTCAGCCGAGTACACCTGGTTCGTGCAATTTTGTGAGTCATTGCTCATTTGATCATTTCAAATTTCAAATATGTAAAAGTCACTGCTCTGTTTTGAGTCCCTGTCTGCTGCTAGGTGACTCCACTCATGTCATGCATGCACACGTTGCAGAAAGAGAACGGGGGAAATATGTAAGATGTAAGAATGCAAAACGTATTTTAATTATTTATTTCTTCACTTGTTTACAAGCGAGCAACTTCAGACCAGAACATGAAATGACCCAAAAAATACAAAGGAACAAATACAAATTGCCTTGAGACGTATCAACCTGTCTATCCTGGAAAATCACCACTCGGGATGCAGGTTATTCTTCTATATTTTCTACCAAACAAATCAAGCAAGAACGCAATGTACATCGCAAGCAGCACGGGAAGGCGTCCATCACAGTGCGAGGCCTTCCTTGCGAATTAAGAACCTGTTTGACCTGTGCACCGCAGCGCTCTTCACAGGCACGTCGAACGCCTTCATCGGTTTCTTGGCATCAATCTGCACGATGGTCTTAGGCTTGGAGTCGAGTGCCTTGACTTCCTTGGTGCTCTCCAGAAATAACTCCAGACCCTACAGTATGCACAGCATAAAGTTAGTGATTCTGCATCAAGAAACTGAAATTGCCTGGAAGGAGGGCAAACATCTGAGAGAAAGGCACTCGACTTACCTTCACCGGCTTCTTTTCAGTATGAGCCAGGTCCAAGAGCTTGAGTTTTTCATCCGCTTCCTGTCGAATGAAGAACAGGTATGAATCATCACGAAGATAGCTCAATCTACACGATAAGCTCAGATATGGGTCACGACAAAGATAGTTAAATCTACGCGATAAGAACACCTAATGAACAGGCCTTAAACAGGACAGCGCAGACTCGTAACCCTGTACCAATTATCTGCTTACTTGGAAAAACTTGGCATTTCTTCCCTCTTTTATACCTCCTGCCATTCGGCAGAGATACCATATACCAGCATTAGCCGCATCCTGCCATTAAAATATAAGAGGTTAGGACAAACAGAATTTCAGCATGCCAAGACCCAGAGGCTCGTGAGTATGTTGGTCACCTGTTTATTGTCAAGCAACTCAATCTTCTCTTCCTGATAATCGTACACAAACAAAGTCAGAACAATCAAATAGATTTCGAGCAAAAGTTCATGTGCAAGGGTTCCAGGATGCTCAAACTCACCAGTCCAGCTACCATCTGTTGAATTGCTTCAACGTCAAAGCCAATTTGGGACAGATCAGTTTTAACATCAGTGACCTGTGCATATTGAACAGAACAACATGAATGCTTGAACTGAGAAGGAAACTGATTTTTCATAGGATAGCATAGCATTACAAGTATATACAGCATGTACCTACTAAACACATTAACTTAACAGCTTTTGCAACGTTGAAAAGAACAGAAAGCAGAGTACACCTTTGGTGTTCTTACAGAAAAAATGAAGAAAAAAGCTGGAAAACTATGTGCTCCATGCACGCAAATCAAAGACTAGCAACGGCTTATCAGAAAGCCATAATAAACACAATCAGAGTCTTCATAGACCATTTAGGAAGATCACTCTGGTTATGCTTGTGTTCATACGTATTATTATTCTACACAATAATGTTTTATGGTATATGGAAAAAAGTACTCAGAGTACGCTGCAGTTAATGGTTGTAAGAAGAGCCAGCATGTGCACCAGACTAGTGTATTCCCTTTAACCAGTTATTTGAAGTGTTGCACAGTTTCTGGTTTTGAGCCAATCTTGACATGCCAGCCAGTATATGACCATGGATTATGAACATTAACAACAAAAACAATCACAAGCAGGCCACGACTAGTACTCATATGTTGTTATGTGATGGCGTCAGGGATGCAAGCAGCACGCAACTTGTGCTTGCTCCATAGTCAAAATCGGCCATATTAGTTGCAGCTTTGTTTTAGGGAATTAGTTCAGTTTGTACTACCCCCTATTGAGTGGGCTTACATGGATTCGCCACTTGCACCCTTAGATGGTGGGCGTTCTAAACAAAAATCCTGACCCACCTTTCCGGGTGAACTATAGTATGACAGAAGCACCTACTTGTAGTGAACAATTCAATCAATTAAATAACGGTATCTAAAGGTATTGATTAGGTGATGTAAGAATGAAAACAGAAGAAGAATTGTTGCTGTTCTGCAAAAACAAATTTCATAAGGTCTCAGGCATGAATCATTCAATTTGTCATCATATCAGTACATCACTGCTCAGGACTAACATCATTGCAAATCAACAAACCTCATTCCGTATTTGTTTGGAGACCTCCACTTGTTCGTCCATTTTGCCATCCAAATTCTCAAGGCGTTTTGTTAGATGTCTTTTGGTTGCCTGAAATTAATTGGATGTCACAGTCATTATTCAAGTAGATATGAAAAGAAAGATAACACTGAATATGAAATAATAATGTGTAAAGCATACTGCTAGTGCTGATGAAACTTGCTCCAATTGCTTCGACATGCTATCGACAGCACTGGCCATATTGCGTTTTGTGACAAACATGACATCTGACAAGGACCATCCCTGCATAAGGATATTAATATATAAGAAAGCAAAAACATGACAGAAAAAAGTTTACACACACAATTTATATATGTACTCTACATTGCAAGTTTCGTATTAAAACAACAACTTGGAGATGTTATTAGCATAAGAAAGATCCAAGGATTTTACATAAACCATAGTGAATCCATAGGAAACAATGCAACAGTCAATTTGAAACTCTTATCAGAATGTTTTACAGAATAAGATTAACTTAGCGGTGCTCCATTTATCTGCTTACAGTTGGATCCACACACACACACACAAAAAGTATGATTCCCAAGAGATTTCTGTTATATGCGAGAAGGAAGGAAGAAAAGCAAATGACAAAAAATGAAGAAAAAAGTGTTCTATTTTCTCTTTCTTCAGTTACTGATTCTATATGAATGTTGTAAGAACATTTCTGGAGAAAGAAGACCAGGACACAATTCATGATCCTTAGTCAAAAAATTGCAGACAGAGAATTTGACAATAACTCAAACATTTTTTTTGTGTGTATGCTTATCTTACCTTACACCACATATAGCAATAACCTAATGCTCCAACTGCAGCTGCTGGCAGTATGTAGGACGATAAACTGCCTGAAGAAAATTCACATGCAGGTAAATAAAATGATATAAGAACTAGCAAGTAAGTGTAATAAAATGAATGAGGTAAGTAGCTTTTCTCAAAGGTTCGTAAATATCGTTGCGAAACAATTGAATGTACCAACATTATTGTTCATTAGCCTATCTACATGTTCCAAATTAGAAGTTTCGAAGCAATTCAAACTCATGAATCATTCATTGTCAGATTGGAGATGCACATAACAAAAAAATCCTTTCAGCTGCAGATATTGCAGGAGAGTCAGGCTTAAGTGAGTAACTATCTATCTGAACATTTTTGGATAATACAAGCAAATTCATAATGAAGGCTTATTTAGAATGTGGATTAGGTTTTTGGCATAGGTCACTAAGAGAGAAAAGCTGAAACATAGCAAGGGGGGATCAGATAGGTACATACCTCCCGAGTCCGATTTGCCGCTCAATATGGTAATGGGCTTTGACAAAGTTAAATCTCTGACTTCTTGGGCTAAATGCCGAATCTAGTATCAAACACCAGCACGTGGAATGCACAAACAACAACAGAGACGTTATTTTAGAGCAAATGAAGGACAATAGCGTAATATCTATGCAACTGCTGATGCAAGATATAAGTATAAACAACTGCGTACCTGAGCTTGGATAAGAGCCATGTCATATGCGCTCGAGCCTTCTCCTTGATTTACGCCCTTCATGAGCTCCTAAAAACAGAGAAACACGACATGTTCCTCAAAGATTTGAAGGTCCACATAACTTACTACAAGATGAAGAACATACAATCTAAACCACTGACACATGCTTGGCAGACACTATGGATGATTATTTTTTCTGCGGGGTACACTATGGATGATTTGGAGTGCCCATTGGTGCCTTCACTTGTTACGTAGAAAATGAAAACGAGATCATCAAAAGCGCTGTCCTATACTTTCCATACATATATGTGTGTGGCAAAGCGGATTTAATTGTAAGATTGGGTAACAATCTGTGCTGCTCTTAGGAGCATGTATGCAGATTTACAATCATGCTCTCGGACGGGTCAGTGGTAACGCTCCTATTATCCTATTGTCTTCTCATCATAAAAAACATCCAGAGATTTTTTCGCCACCTCTGATGATCAATAAAAGCGAGAGAATTAACATGGTATGAGCTGAAAATCCACCGACCTGGAGCTCCGCCAATACATCCGACAAGCGGCCATTCCGAAGCACGATCGATCCCGTCAGGCCTGCGACGACGCAAAATCACCATTTCAGGGTCAAAAGTGGAAGCCAATTCGGATTTCGACATCTAAAATCGATAGATTTGGGGGCGGGCGGGGGAGGGAAGGGGATTGGTTGCGACCTGCGCCGACGAGGATGAGGACCTTGGAGGCGGCGACCCCCGTGTGCGTCGCCATCGCCATGCCCGTGCGCCGCCCCTGCGGGCTCTCTCGTTCGGCTTCTGGGAGGTTCTAGAAGGGGGATCAGTGACGAATGGGGCGGGGAAGGAGACGGGGGAGGCAGGTGGGGTAAAGCTTGGAGGAGGGGAAAGCGTGCGGGACGAGCGGGCTGGACAGTCGGGGTTGAACGCTTGGACCGGGCTCGGGCGGCTCGGCTCGTGTCGGTTTGGCGACCACAAACGCTCATGGGTCTAGTCAGCATGTACGAGCGAGAAGGTTACCACACGCTACTTCTAATCTTCACGATGAATCATGAGATTATGGCTAGCAGCAAATATAAAAATCAGACGCCCCTAAAAGCATCTATGCCCGGCGTCTCAAACCCACCTCAACCGTCCGAAAGAACGGCCTGGTGAGGCAGTGACAATCGGGCGCCTCAAACGGGCCTCAAGCGAACGCGCTGACTGACATCCCTTAATTCATTAGAAGAACGCCCGTGCGTTGCAACGGGGCCACGTTAACTTAAAGAGTTCAATATTACGACATTGGCGACTTTTTTTACGATCAAATCCTCACACACACACTCCCTTCCTCTTCCTCACTCTCTCTCCCCCTCTCCCTCTCTCTAACACACACACATATCCATCTTATTGGGTACGGGACCATAATCCATCTATTTCACACACACACGCTAGTGCATAACAATATGGATTATGTGTATTATATTTGCCACCAGAACTGAGGGAATTAATTTCATGTAAATCGGCCAGCCACAGCTCCAAGAATACGCGGAGGAGGTGGCCCGGGTCAGCGTCGGCGCCGTCCGGCGCGTGCCACGGGTCCGCTTCCAAGTGCACGTGCAATGCACGTCTTCACAAATATTACAACCAGATGTGAGAAATCACATACTAACATGATGTTGCAATCAATTTGTAATTAAAGAAGCCAAAAGTCTTTTTTCTTAAACCAGAATTCCTTATGCTGGAGTTTAAACAAACCCCACAATAGCCCTACTTATCACCTAATTAAGCAGATGCATGACTTATGAAGCGGATAAGAAATCATGTTAACTTGGAACTAAAATTCCAACAAAAGAGTGAGGAATAAACCTTTTTATCATTGCTCTGAAGTCTGAACCTCCCCCTATTTGTTAGTGAAATGTGAGTATGCTTGGAAGATAATAATTTCTTATGCAACATATGCTTTTACATCCGAAAGAGCTACAAAATATGTTGACCTATGTGCACTTCCTAAATCAAGCGGATAAAATTATTTCTATCGGCAATATAAAATATTAAACATTAGAAAAAAAGGGACAATGTCCACTAACCATGCAAATATTCTGACCATGGGATATTTAGGCTGGCGTATATGGGAAATCAAAGCTAAAAATGACTCGATGAGTTAGGGATACATCAATAAATATTGTAAAAAGTGATAAAAAACAAATCTGCAGCAACTCACGACCGCACGAACTCGTATTCGCAATGAGCAAGTTAGTGAGGCCACCACGGTAGGCTAGCACCAAGGGACAAGGCAACAACCGCCTTCCCATCCAACCTACTGATTCTGCTGGCGCTACTTTCATCCTAAGCCCATGAGTACCGTTAGTGTGTTGCCACGTACGAAGAAACTATGAACTGAAATTTTCATCCAAATCATGAAAAATGTTAATGTTCCTCTCCTCTCCCATCCCTCGTGTGAACATACCCAATTCGTGGTTGGCTCGCTACATTCAGCGTAGCTCTAATGTGCACTGCCCTCGCTCTTGATTAGTTGCCGCAGTGCCACGCATCTACGCCAACAAGCTGGGGAAACAAATGCAAATGTTACACCGAGTCAAAATCAACCATCCCACAATCGTAACAATAGAAAAGATAATAACCAAAATTTAACAGAAGAACTACTGCTTGGCTCCCAGAACCATCTCGATAGCCCTTGATCTGGCTGCTGAGCTTCTCCTAGCCGCCTCAACATCACGTCATTACCAAACATGTAGTGGATGCCTAGTGGGACAAGGATTAAGAAATAACATGAGGTGAAAAATGCGATGGCTGTCAATTCCATAAGACGATCCAAGTAATTTGACAAAACAGATCGGGAGCATCTTGTATAATCTCAAAAAAGCAACTAAAAAAATGAGAAATGAAGTGATGAAAATCAGCCCCTACTCTCATTTATGCTCGCTTTTGTAATGGGAGGCAAGGAATGGGGATACCGGGAGAAGAAAGGATCACATGGACGGCAAGCCTCCACCACCGGCAAGTGGGGTTGCTTCACATCCAATCTCCACGGCCGCCGCCTCCATGGGGACGAACTCCCATGTTCACAACCGGGCTCCCAATCGGCCGCTGCCTCGCCGACCTTGACGACGAAGTAGTCTCTCCCTTCGATCCCATTCGCAACGGAGGCAACACCCATCCCAGCGGACGGGTCCGCGGTGAGATCCCTACTGGATTGTGGTCGCGCCTCCCCAAACCTCACTGCGGGACACATGAGAGGGCGCCGTTGCCATGGTCAGGCTTGGATGGGGAAAGGAGGCGACATAGCAGCAACGGCGCCTTCGCCGGGATTGGTGGCGACGGCGGCGGCGAGCGAGCGGGAGGACGGCGGCGGCGAGAGAGTAGGAGGGTGGTGGCGGCAGTCCATGGGCCGCCGTGACGTGAGAGGAGGATGGGGATGGGGCCGCGATCTGGACGTATGGAGCGGTCGAGAGGAGGGGAAGCAGGCGGCTGGGTTTTTTCATCATGCGGGGTTTGGGGGAGGTCAAACGAGAGGGTTTTTTTCGTGCAGGAGGCAGAGCAACGAGGGCGGATGTAGGGAGACGGGACGCGGTCGGTTGGCAGGAAAAGGAAAGCTACGCAAAATCACATCAATATAAGAAAATATCCCATCAATACTTGATTGATTGCGATTTATTTTTTATATGGTAACTAATCTGATCATCAATACTTGATTGATTGCGATTTATTTTTTATATGGTAACTAATCGGATGAGTTTATGTGGGTGGTGAAGTGAAAAGGAAAGCTACGCATTTTTTTAGGCAGTAGAGATGATTGATGATAATAAAGGGAAAATCACATCAATATAAGGAAATATCCCATCAATACTTGATTGATTGCGATTTATTTTTTATACGGTAACTAATCTGATCATCAATACTTGATTGATTGCGATTTATTTTTTATATGGTAACTAATCTGATGGGTTTATGTGGGTGGTGAAGCGAAAAGGAAAGCTACGCATTTTTTAGGCAGTAGAGACGATTGATGATAAAAAAGGGGAAATCACATCAATATAAGGAAATATCCCATCAATACTTGATTGATTGCGATTTATTTTTTATATGGTAACTAATCTGATCATCAATACTTGATTGATTGCGATTTTTTATGGTAACTAATCTGATGGGTTTATGTGGGTGGTGAAGCGAAAAGACAGGTGGGAGAGAGACGAAATAAAACCAGCGAAATAAAACCAACGAAAGTGGTGAGGCGAAATAAATCCAGCAAAAAATAACCGGCGGACTATTCGTAGATTTTTTTGGTTCGTCTGTCTTGGTGCGACGGGATGTTAGGGCCTGGAGTGCGTGGGGGCGGGCGGGGGACTCGGCTTGAGGTTTTTTTTGGTTCTATGCGGCTTAGCGTGAGACGGGAGGATGGGCGTGTGCGGGACTCGATCACGGGGTTTTCCTTGGTTTTTCGCGGCTGAGAGGGAGGTGGGAGGAAGTACCAAAGAAGTACCAAAAAA